GGCCGCTGCGGGGGGCGGGGCGGGGCCGTGACGCGGGCGGGAATCGGGCGCCACGCGGCGCATGGGAGCGACGGAAGCACGCGGGGCTCGCCCACCCTCGGTGTAGATCATTGCAGTGATGAAAGGCCGGGGCTAGGTGGGCCACGGACACCTCGTGCAGCCCCAGGGGGCAAGAGCGCGTGGATCAGGTTCCCTATCGGGGGTACACGTGTTTCCTGACACGTTATAAACCCCCGGCAGAGGTGGGGGGGATAGGAGCCTGGCCTAGCACGTAGTAGCTCCTCATGGGGGGGAAATCTTGCAACTTCCCTTGAAATACTTCCCTTGGAGTTCACGCAGAGATGTCCTAGGATGCTACTTGTCTGCAGGGACTTCCGGCCCGTTTTTGTCCCGACAGCTGTTTGTGGAGCTGATCCATGGTTTCGCACCTGTTAGCAGCATTGCACAGCGTTGTCATGACACCAGGTGAAATGCTCCGGTTTGGGCTCAGTTTTGCTCTGAATTCTTCGGGCAGCGAGACCCCGAGCCCCTGAAGCTGGAAGTGCTTGTCGCCCAGAACGAGCAGAGACCCCTTGGGCTCGACACGGTTGGGCAGCACAGAGCTACCCCTGGTAAGTCTAATTGTTGAACTCTGTAACTGTTCAGCATTTGTGCCCAAAGGCTCCTCTGACTGTTGCTGTCTGCTCCCCTCCACTGAGCTCTACAGATCCCCCATGATGTGGAGGACTGAAACACAGATTGGGTGGATCAGCCAGCCTGTAATTGAGGCAATATCAAGTATTTGAACGCTCAAATTTTACAAGATTTTGGGCGTCCCCTGAGACGTTCTGAAAACCAAGGCTTTGCTATACATAACATCTTCTAGGATGGCCTCTCCCCTAATGCCTCCCACATACTCTGACAGGATTTGAAAAGAAAGCTACTTCCAAAGAGACCCTTGCCTGCAGATTTAAGATACTGGGGACACGCTTGAATGCTTCAAAACAGAAAACCTTAAGATCCATAGGCAGACAGTAAAGCCCTCTCTCCCAGACTACATGCCCACACCTCTAATGCTTATTATACAAGGAAGTAAAAGGAGCAGACTTTTCTTTCACAGACATACTGGGGAGGTGAGATTTGTACCTGTCAGTAGTATGCTCAGTCCAGTCACACCAGATGCTTTCTTTGGTTTGCCCCAATTTTAAAATAATCCGTTTTGTTTTTTTCCCATTGGAAACATTTAATACTTGAACACCCCCGGTGGCCTCTGGGTTCTGCTTTTTACTCACCTTGCCTTGTCTGCAGCTGTGACCTCAGTGTTGATCTAGAGATGAAATTCAATAGACCTTGACCAGGAAGTGCCTAAGGCTTCTTAGGCTGAGCTAGGGAGGAGCAATTGTTGGTACAGATGAGTGTGCTAGGAAAGCACAACTTGGATCACAGACTGCCATTCACTTGGATCCAGGCCAATCCTATATTGGGCTGCATGTAAGATCCTATTTCTTTAGGCCCTTAACTACTACTTTTCTTTATTTCAGAGGGAAAAAGCACATTTCCTTGATTGTAACTGAAAGGAGTATGCAGATAGCCTCTGATCATGTTGAGAAGAACCCATCAGCAGCATGTGTTCTTAGCCGTGAAAGCAGATCAAGTCTTGACACACACTGAGCCACATCTGAGCTGTTAACATAGTAAATGTTCAGACTGTTGCTTCACTTTCCCTTACCAAGGCCTCCATACCTATGTCAGAAGTAGAGAGTCCAAGAGTTTCTGGTGCTTAGTCTTGATTTTTTTATTTTTTTTTTGTCGCAGGCCAAATTAGTCAAATGAGTTCCAAATTCCATCTGTTGAGCAGAGCTCACTTGTTCAGGTCCATGTGGTTTTGCCACCAGCAAGTATCTTTCCTCCCAGACTCTTCAGCCTGGGGCTTCAGATACTCCCAAATCCATGGCAAGTATTTTACATGCAAGCCCCAAGCCTGGAGGTCTTGGGGTTCAGATGCTCCCAAATCTCACTTGTCCCTAGCCAAAAGGTCAAAGGAGCAAGAACACAATGGAGGTATTCTACTGTTGGTTATGGGACCTCACTAAAACTTGGCTGCATTTAAACAAACCCCATTTGGCAGGTTTACCCTGAAACCACAACTCTTTCTGGGAGAATTCCTGGATAAAGAAACCCAGCTGTCTGTGAGTTCCTGCAAATGCTGATGTTTTGAGTCATTAAATCCACAAAAGAGACTTAATGCATATGCAAACCTCAGAGGGCCGGAGATGAGGCATGGATACACCCAGAAAACAGTCATGCATAATCAGGGAGGGAGAAACACCAGTCACTGGAAAGTGGCTTCTGAAAGGAATGCATTTTGTGAGCAAGCTTCCCACAAAGGAAATGACTATCTTGTTCTGAGGATGAAACTCCAAATGCTCTAGAAACCTCAGCTGCCAACAGCAAAAGGGCAGTATCCACAGAGTCTCCAATTTCAGGGAGGCCCCGCCTGGCTTAGGAAATTACTCCATTGGCAAACACAGTCAATAGCAATGGGTCCTTCAGAATTAATCTTGAAATGTGTGTGTCTGCTAATGTAAAAGTGATACAGTCCCACCTTTCTCCTGTAAGTACACCAGCACTTTACATAAGAGTGCAGACATTACCACCCCATTTATGGATGGGAACACAGATGGGGACAGGGTGAACAGGAATAGTTCTGCTACAGATAACGGACATTTGATTTGCTTAAAATTAAGCATGTGTTCAAGAGATGTGCTGAACTGGTGCCTGAGCTTGTAAACTTCTATAATCAGGGATCCTGTATTTTATGTGTATTGGGAAGCACCTAATGCTCCATTGGGCCCTGTACTTATTTGTGTATCCACATGCACGCGTGCACACACACACACACACACACACACTAATATACACACATAAATAAAAATAAATATTGCAACATAGCTATAATTAATAAATAACTATTTCAGCTGAGCAGTGAATTGTGGAATCAATGGCTCTGAGTTTCATGTGGAAGGCACTCAGTACAGTTTAGGGCAGTACAGTAATCAAACTTTGCAAGCAGAAATAGATAGAATGACAGGTCTACCTGTTAAAGTGGGAAAGAAGTTGGAGCAATTATCAGCTAAGCACATGACACAGCTAAAATACACTGTGTCTATGCTAAGAGTCCTGTAAAAAAGCACCTGTGTGTTCTTTATAGTTTAATTCCCTAGACTGTTCATTACATTTGGTGTGTTGTTTGTCAACACACAATTAAATACTGACAGAAATGATCAACAGAGTGGTCATTAGCTGCTAATAAGTTGTGAGATTTTTAATACTTTTTTGTTATAATCTTGAAAAGTTAGGCTCCTGAACCTAATGCTGCAGGGTCTAGAAGTTATTGGTTTGCACAAGATAGAAATATATGATTCCAGGTCTGATCAAGCTTTTAATTACAAGCAATTACACAAAGTGCTGCAATTAGTAGCAGGATTTGCTTTGTGAACAGTGATGCTGCCTCTGATTTTCAGAGCAGAACTAGGACACTCATTTTCTGAGTGGGATGCACCAGGCAGCGCTCAAACAACTGGGAAGGTGAAAATAAATAGGGTTTTGATGAAAGTACAGGGCAGGGAGCCGGGAGACCTCAGTTCTATTCCCAGCTGGCAGAAGCATTGAAGAAATCTTGGGGAGGCCACTGAGTTTTCCTGTTGCTTACTGCCTCCATCTACAGCATGAGGATGATAATCACCTCACAACACAGTGGGAACATTTCCTTCAGTACTACTGGCGCAGTGTTTGAGACCCTTAGGTTAAAGGCGCAGTGGGAGAATGCAAATGCCTAGAAGCAGAGCTGTGCGCCCTATCATAGCTATTCTGCATGCAGAATTAATGTCTCTGGGACCTTATTTCAATCACGGTCACCTTGAGTGTATAAAGTTTTAGGTTGGGAGGCACCAAGTTATCCATCAGACTGATCATGTCTTGAGTTTGTTTTATTACCCGGCTTCTGCGGTGTGCCTCTGTTAAGTCCTCACCTGGCTTTGTCTGCTTCTGTGTGGCAGTATGATTGTTCACAGCTTGCAAGTTCTATCCAGCCCATTTATTTGCTGTTTCCACTTGAGTTTCCAAGGTAATAAGTTTTGAAGAAATCCCACCCCCCCCCATCCCCTCCCCTTACTGTGTTATTGAAAAAGGATCCAGTTTGACTAAATCCTGTTTTGTGAGTTAGGTCCCTTGAAGGTTTCGTGCCTGGGAAGATAATGACAGTGGCCGGCTGTTTCCTCTGCTCGTGTGCACTTTGTGTTTGATGAGGTGAATAATTTCTGAAGCATGAACGTGCTCTTGCCAGCTCTTTCAGTGGGCCAGAGAGGCCTGTGTCTCCTCCTCTCTGTCAAGTAGTATCATTTACAGACCTCCTTTCACTCACACAGGCTCCGTTCCATCACTGCCTCGGTGTAAAGGACTTAACTCGATTAATTTGTATGCTAAGGAGGCCAAAGAAAGTCTAAGCTCTCATAACCTCTTTAAAGTATGGCTTCTACCAGCTTCTTGGCACGTTAACAACACTGGAGATGTGGGCAGATGAACAACTATATCGTTTTAAAGGGGACGACTTACCACACAGGATCACAGGTAAACTGATTCATGGTAACTGTTTCGTGTGTCCGCTCGTATACTGTAGCAAGTGAAACCATGCTGTGGTAAATTAACCTTGTTTAAATCAGGGGTTGGCTGCTTTGTTTTATAGTTTCATAGTCTCATAGTTGTTAGGGGCCGGGGGGGGACCTTACAGATCATCGGGTCCAGCCCCCCTGCATGTGGGCAGG